TAGAATCCTGGAAGATGATCACCAATGCATCCACTATTTGTAGAGCCACTTCCTTAAGTACCATGGGATGTAGATTATCAAGCCTTGGGGATTTATTCGCCTTCAATCCCATCAATTTTCCCAGCACCATTTCTCTACTAATGTTGATCTCTCTCAATTGTTCTCTCTCACTAAATCTTGCATTCTCAACATTTCTGGTAACTGATCTGTGTCCTGTTTTGTAAAGACAGAACCAAAGTATATATTCAGTTGCTCAGCCATTTCTTTGTCCCTTATTATACTTTCCCCCATTTCTGCCTGTAGTAGACCTACATTTGTCTTCACCAATCTCTTTCTCTTCACATATCTATAGAAACTTTTAGTGTCAGTCTTTATGTTCCCTGCAAGCTTACTTTCATATTGTATTTTCCCCTTCTTAACCAATCCCTTGGTCCTTCTTTGCTGAATTCTAAACTTCTCCCAATCCTCTGATATATTATTTTTCTTGGCCAATTTGTATGCTTCTTCCTAGGATTGGATACTATCTCTAATTTCCATTATAACCCATGGATTGGCCCTCTTACCCACTTTGTTTTTGTGCCAGACAGGAATAAACAGTTGTTGCAGTTCCCTCATGCGTTCCTTGAATGTTTGCCATTGCCTATCCATTGTCATCCCTTTAGGTAACTCTCCCCAGTCTATCAAGGCCAGCTCACGCCTCATATCTTCATAGTTTACTTTGTTAAGATTCAGCACCCTAGTCTCTGAATCACCAACCTCACTCTCCATCTTGATAAAAAAATTCTATCATGTTGTCGTTGCTCATCCCCAAGAGGTATCGCACAGCCAGTTTTGCAATGATTCTCTTTTCATTACACCGTACCCAGTCTAAGATGGCCTGCTGTCTAGTTGGTTCTTCCACATATTGGTCAAGAAAACTGTCCCTTGTACACTCCAGGAATTCCTCCTCTATGGCATTGTGGCTAATTTGATTTGCCCAATCTATACGCAGATTAAAATCACACCACTGGTCACTGATACTCCCTTAACACATGCATCTCTAATTTTCTGTTTAATGCCATTCCCAATATCACCACTACAGTTTGGGGGTCTATATATGACACACACTAATGTTTTTTGCCCCTTGGTATTTCTCAATTCTACCCATACAGACTCCACATTGTCACATTTGATATCCTTTCTCACTATTGTGTTAATTTCCTCTTTAACCAGGAATGCCACTCAACCACCTTTTCCTTTTTGCCTGTCCTTTCTGGGTACTCAATACCCTGGGACATTCAGTTCCTATCCCTGGTCACCCTGCAGCCATGTCTTCTTAATCCCAGTTATGTCAAACCCGTTTACATCTACCTGCACGATTAGTTCATCCACTTTATCGCAAATACTCCATGCATTAAGGCACGAAGCCTTTAAGCTTGTCTTTTTAACATTGTTTGTCTCACTCTTATTTTTCTCAATAGCCCTGTTTGAATTTTGTTCTTGGTTTCTCTGTCTATCACTTATTCCTTTTTCTACATTTTGTTTTTGTCCTTGCTCCCTGCTTCTCTGACTCCTTACATAGGTTCCCATCCCCCTGGCATATTAGTTTAAACCCTCCCCAACCACTCTAGCACCCTAGGACATCAGTCCGACTCCTGCCCAGGGGTAACCTATCCAATTTGTACAGGTCCCACCTCACCCAGAACTGGTCCCAATGCCCCAAGGGCCTGAAACCCTTCCCCGACACCATCTTTTCAGCCATGTATATCCTGTCATTTCTACTCTGACTAGCGCGTGGCACCAGTACCAATGCTCAGATCACTACCTTTAAGATCCGATTTTGTAACTTACTTCCTAGCTCCCTGTATTCTACTTTTAGGACCTCATTCCTTTTTTTTTAACCTGTCATTTGTACTGATGTATACCACATCACTGGCTGCTCATCGTTCCCCTCCAGAATGTCCTGTGCCCACTCCAAGACATCCTTGACCTGAGCACCAGGAAGGCAACATACCATCCTGGAGTCTCATTTGCAGCCACAGAAATGCCTGTCTATTCCCCTTACAATTGAATCCCATGACTATTGCCCTTGCAGACTTTATCTCCCTCCCCTCTGCAGCAGAACCAACCGTGATTCAACGAGTTTGGCTGCTGCTGTTTTCCCCGAGAGGTCATTCCCTTCAATTGTATCCAAAGCAGTATAACTGGTTTGCAGGGGAATGGCCACAGGAGATTCCTGCACTACCTGCCTATCTCTCTTGCTCTGTCTGGTGTCACCCATTCCTTTCCTGCCTGCAGACTCTGAGCCTGCGGTGTGACCACCTCTCTATATGTGATAGATCTGCAGAGATAACAGTGAGACATCATTGAAGAATCAAAAACATTGTCAAACCAACCCATCCTATTTTGTGATATGAACTGATGGCACAGAATTTTCCTTCTGACCTTTTCTTTGTCTCCAGTCATGATATTTGTATTTTGTCTTTTTTTTTCTTCATCTGTGAGTGTATGGTAATTTTTGGAAAGGGTAAAGTTTAAGGTATATAATTTAGAAATCTTTTTACTGTTGTTAAAAGTTGAGAGTGTTAAAATGAATGTTACTTTATTATTAGAAAGGAGCCTGCTGTGCTTTGCTTTTATTCTGGGTAGCTGTCTGTCAAAGGCATATTGGGATTTTTGGCAATTGAGATTTGTGACAATTCCAGGAGTAGTGCAGCTTGATTTCAAGCACACAATCCCAATGGGTCAGGACAAAGTCTGGGGGCTCTTGGCCAGAATATTTAAAAACAAGGACAATGTAAAGTTAGGTGTGGAGTTCATGTAAGTAATGAAAGATTAAATGTTTTGCATTAAAAAACAAGAGGACCCTGGAAAGCTGCCAAAGCCTTTCTGTAAATGGAAGAGACGTCTCTGACAAACCTTTGAAAGTTCACAAAAGACAGAGATAATTGAATTGGCCAGTAAATTAGAAGTCGAATTGCCTACCACAACTAAAAAGACAGAGATAATTGAAGGACTAGCGCAGCATTTGGGCTTGATATAAATATGAGAGAGACCTGGTACTCTAAGCAGTGAGAGACCGGGGTCAGTTCAAACTGAATTACAGTTAAAGAGATAGTAGGAACTGCAGATGCTGGAGAATCTGAGATAACAAGGTGTAGAGCTGGATGAACACAGCAGGCCAAGCAGCATCAGAGGAGCAGGAAGGCTGATGTTTCAGGCCTAGAAAGCTTAGGAAACTGGAAGTTGAATTTCAGTTAGAAAAAGAGGAGTGATGTAGGGAATATGAGGTCAATATGATGCAGTTAAAATGCAGGATTTCAGGTGCCATTGCAAGCCCTGGTGAGGAATAACTTAGTCATTGTCTAAAGTCCATTAAGGAAATAATTAAGTTTGTGCAAGTCCTACCGACATTTAAGGAATGGGTGTGGGGACATCTCTCACGTTATATGACAAAATAGTGAGACAAATGAATAGCTGAAGGAACAATGGCTACTGCACACACGAAGTAAATTGACAAGTAGAACACTTGAAATTTGTGCTTCAGTGTCAAAAGAGGATTCTAAGAATCATAGGACCATAACACATA